CCCCAAAACCCCAAAACCCCAAAACCCCGGGAAGCTTGGATGAAGTTGAAATTATCAGGCTAAATTGTGTTTTAAGGTAAAATTAAAAACTTTGGGAACTTGTGAAGCCTTTGAGGTTTTTAATCCCTAGAAGCTGCAATGGGATTATAAGTCACGGAAGAACCAGAGTAGAGGTACTTAAGTTCGGACTTAGAGAGTCCCTTGGTTTCTTTGACGAAGAAGATGATGAAGAGGAGGAATAGAGTGTTGATACCGAAAAATAGGAAATAGATCCCTTGTTGCATAATAGATTTGATCATTGTTTCAGTAATCAAAGAAATAACTACAGTAAGAGTCCAAATAATGGCCATTGCAACTGAGATTCCTACCTCGGTCATTATCTCAGAAATATATACAAAAAATACCGTTCCAATACCTATTTCGAAGCAAACAATAAACAGCAGAGTAAACACTACCACAAAATTATCTTCATCTGTTTTAACTGTATAGATTCCAAGTGCCAGAAGTCACAAAGAAATCCCTGAATTTCCAACAAGGAAGAGGAACTTTCTTCCAAATTTCTTCAAGAGTATAACAGCAAGCAACGATGAGAGGAAATTCACAAGCCCAACGACTCAAGTGATTATTGTTGTGAATTCTTGATCCTCCATACTTTTCCAGTTTTCAGAACTAGTTGAAGAGAAGATGATCTGGCTTGTGTACAGAATCACAACATTAATGCCAGTCAACTGCTGACAAACAGTTAATAAGCACCCAACTATGAAAGCACACCTATATTTAGGACTGAATTGTTGTCATAATGAAACCTTTTCTTCAACAATGCTTTGTGAATCTCCAACCATCAAGTCAATCCGACTTGCATCCGGATCGATGAGTGACTCAATCTGTAATTTAGATGCACAAACCTTACTCGTCTTGCTCTTCGTTCGTCTCTCACTTGGCGATAATATTTGGGAGTGTCATCTGTGAAGACCAAAAGTAGCAGAAAAGATTGAACTAAAGCGACGATTCCTGGTATCATGAACACATATCTCCAAGAATTTGTTCTTTCTAAGTCCTCATCACCATCAGTAGAATTTATTTGAGTCAGAAATCTAAACAGATAAGCTATCATATTTCCAGTTGTTATCATGACTTGACTGATGGCTCCAACAGGCCCAGAAACTTTTACAAAAGAAGTTTCTGAAAGAAACATAGGACAGACAACTCCTAACACTCCGACTCAATAACCGACAAAAATTCTTCCTATTAATATTGCAATAACATTCTCAAACATCGTCGCACCTGTAGCTAATCACAACACCACATTCATACCCAAAATAGCTTTCCTTCTTCCATACGCCACCAAATATCCCCCACTCAGAGCTCCAAAAACCGCCCCAGCCGGCACTGTTGTTGTCATAATCGATCTAAAATTCTCCCCACCACAAACCCAACTCCCAGAAGTTTCTTCACCACAAATCTCCTTCTCCAGCACCTCAGCCACTGAGCTAAACATGACATTAGCAAACCCCATCTGGAACATTCCAAGTGCAATTGTTCCCATCCAGACCCACAGGAAGACCAAGTGCATTTCCATTAATTTATTCGCAATTTAATTATTTTAGAATGGGGTTTTGGGGTTTTGGGGTTTTGGGGTTTTGGGG